CACAATCTGTACCAGTGGATACAAAGGCTGAGCTCTCTTGCCCTCCTGTGCTGTGTACAGCTGTGATGTTAGCAACGTGGGAAGTAGTCCTCAGAGACAAGCCCCCCTGCAACAGAGTCTACAGGGGTGATACAAATGAGACAAAGGGAAACTGCACCGATGAGAGAATAAAAACCTGGGGCTCCAGACCTGACGAGATTCCTGCCCTTCAGATTGACCCAGTGGCCATCACTCACGATGGGTATTACAAGTGTGAAATGGTAACACCTAATGGGAATTTCTATCATGGATATCACCTCCAAGTCTTAGGTAAGAAACACTATATATTGTAATATATATATAACCAGATTTGGGACTGAAACAAATCTCTCTCTAAATTTCACGTCCCATGTGTTAAGACTGAAGCATTTTCCCTACATTTCTGCAGTGCCCCCTGAGGTGACCCTGGTTAAAAGCAAGGCTGGAACTGCAGTGTGCAAGGCAGCTGCAGGGAAGCCAGCTGCACAGATCTCCTGGACCCCAGAGAGGACTTGTGCCACTGATGAAGAACTCTGGGGCAATGGCACAGTGACTGTCCAGAGTACCTGCGACTGGGAGGGCCACCATGTACAGAATGTGTCCTGCTCTGTCTCCCACTTGACTGGCAACAAGAGTCTGACCATACAGTTGAATCAAGGTTAGTAATTTTTCTAGTTTTGTGTTTGATTTTTCCATTCTTTCAGAGGAGTTAACCTTAAGAAGGAAAAAGGAATGTGCAGAAAAATTTCATTCAAGAATGTCCTTTCCACCCTCTACTTTATCTCCCTCTCCTCTTCAAAATAAAGAGATTTGTCTAGAAGAATAATAGAGAAATTTGTTGTAAAAAGCTATACTAAAGAATGGCTTTCTTATTCTGCTTTTAATGTTCCCTTCTGTATCACTAAATTGGCTTGTGTAATATACTTTAAAATAAATCATTATGGCTTTAACTGCAAAATAAAATGTACTCTTAAACAAACAATTACAATTTTATTAGGGTAATAAAATCACTCATATGTTACCTTCATGAATTTTTAGTCTGGTAGAATTTTCTCCTCCAGGCTCTTCTGGTGAAATTTCTTAATGTCTTATAGTAGCATCTATGGTTCATTATTTAGCTTCTCTACTCTCTGCTCCCATCCTATTCTTATGCCTTATTATTAAAAATGTTATTTTAATCAACGTAACTCACATACTTTGAATTCTATGTAGTTCTATAAGGCTATAATGAAAAATGTTAGCCTACTCTGCATCTCCATTCATACAAAACTCTCCAGATGAAAGTACTTTCAAATATTCAAGTGTTTCTTCTAGTAATTGACTGAGTTTTTATAAACAACAAGGTTATGGTGCTATTTCTGAATATAGGGAATTTAGATATAATAGACCCACTTCCTCTTATGGTAGATGAGGATTTAACTTTACCTTCTTCCCTCCCCTCATCCTTCATATGCAGTAAAACATCAATTTTTCGTTAAATTAGATAGCTAGTGTTTACATTATTTTGAAAGTGTATGTTTTGTTAAGCACTGAATCAAGAAGTAAACTCATACTTTCATTTTTGAAAACTTTTTTGTTTTTCTTGGTCTTAACTGCTTTAATTTTTGTTTTCTTATAATTCATGTACCTATTGTTAATTATCATTAACTCACTAAAAAAACTTAGAAAATGACTCTTAATACTGCTTTCCACATGGTCAGATTTTTTAGGAAATCTGTCAGTTCTCTTTTCTTCTTGATGACATTCTTCCTCCAGTTTTACATGCCCCTGCTCTAATCTGGCCTGGCTGGTCACGAGACCTACTGCACAGCTATTGTCCTGGACGTCTTCTTTCCTCCCATCCTCTGCTTGATGCAAACCTATTTAACCTGAGTTCCTTCTGCCTTCCCGACATTTGTTTTAATCTTTCTTCCACATACAAGGCTTTCCTTAACTCTTTGGCTATCCATTCACTTCCAGGTGAGCACCAAGTAGCTGACTGGAAGCTATGTTATCTATGAGTGGACTTGTCAACTAGTAGTCTTCTATAGGGTGAAAATGAGGTGATTTTTTTTTAAATTGGGGATTCCTTATTTTCTTATGTATCTGAAGGTTCTTTTTACTGACGCTGTTCAGGCTCTGCAAAAAAATAATCCTCTAGTCTCACTTTGGAAGGATAATCCTGACTGTCAGTGTTATGGGAGCAGGAGGAGAGGGGAGTGTATGTGTGTGTGTGTCTGTATAGAACTCAGACTTTCCTTTAACACCTCTCTGTGGTCTGACACTTTGTCTCCACCATTCATTATGTCTGGATCCTTGACTCTGGGAGTTTCTCTGGTTCACCTTTATTTGGGCCATACTTTCTGTTTTCGACTGGCGGGGTGAGGTGTAGTGACCTGGCTGCACAATAAGGGAGGACACTTGGCAACTTATCAGTTCTTAATCAAGACTTTCAGGGAAGCTTCCAACTTTCAGCCCCACACTTCACTCCCCAGATTCCCTCTTCTCTATGTTTGGTCCTTCCTGCTCTAGAGTCTTCACTAAGGATTACACTTATTTCACTCTAAATTTTTAAAAAATTTCTCTCTTTCTTTTTAAAAATTTTTTCTTTGTTTTATTTATTTTGTGTGTGGGGAAGTAATTAGGTTTATTCATTTACTTTTATTTTTGGAGGAGGTATTGGGGATTGAACCCAGGATCTCATGCATGCTAAGTGAGTACTCTATCACTTGAGCTATCCCCTCCCCTCTATTTCAGTCTGAATTATTTGCCATTCTTCTGTCCATTTTCCACCTAAAAACAAGATGAAATTCTTCATTTGCTCTTGTCTTTCTTCATGTTATCTTTGTCTTTGAAAACCTATACTTAAAAAAATTAATCTACTGATATTTTAGTGTTAAGAAAAGAGAAGAGAAAAACCCATATGTTTAAGCCACCTTTTTCTAATATCCATTCTTCAAGTTATATATACATTATTTTAAAGAGTTTAGCAGTATTTACTGAGAAGAGTAATTGCGCCCTGGTTATGTATGAACTCCGACCACCCAGAATTACGATATGACTTCGTATTTATAGAATCTCAGAATTGAAGGGACTCTCTCGTCCACTCCCACCCAGGGCAGGTATGTCTTCCTTGCAGTGTGCACCTTCACCTCTGCTAGTGCACTTCGAATGAAAGCCCATTAGTTTGAAAAAGAAGGTTTCAAAACAATGTTGTAATTTTTAACTGTAAAAACTGTTTCTTTTTCAAATAAAAGTCAATATTTGAAAACAAAATATTGAAGGAAGGTGGAGGGACTGGATGCAGCTTCCACTCACCTCTGTCTGCTGCCCTGGCCACATTTGCAAAACACCAGGAGTACAGTCTTAAAACTTCTCAGAGTTGGCAGTTCCTTTGTTGACTTGTCCTCTTGTCAGATTGAGCTTTATGTTGCTGCCAGCAGTTAATGAATAATTTAAAGTTGCTGCCATGCATTCATTCCAGTTTCGATGCCCTGGAAGAAAGGTGATTTCAGAATGAGGGTTATTTTTCCAACTACCTTCCTTACAACTCCCTATTTATTTCTGAATATTAGAGATGAGACACACTCTATTACTGTAACAGAAGAGATCTAAATTTCACCTCTCTCCTACAGGAATTACCCATGTGAATCCTTAAAAGAATAAAATCCTGACATAAGATGATGTCTTGCTAAAAACTTGAGCCTTAAATCTTAAAGAAATTTTATTATAACAATTATTTGAACTATCAATCAGTCAAAAGTTTTAAAAATAAAATCGCAGAAATTAATTTCATGTATTGAGACATTCTTCAGCCATATAAATATACATACATATACATATATATGTATATGTAAAATTTTAAAATAGACTTTGTCTTTTAGGGTTGTTCTAGGATGACAGCAATATTGAGTGGAAGGTAACCCATGCCCCTACACATGCTCAGCCTCCCCATCTGTCTTCACCCCTTACAGTGCAGTGGTACATTTGTTAAAATCAATGAGCCTACCTTAATATACATCATTTTCACTCAAAGTCCATAGTTCACAGTAGGGTTCACTCTAGGTGCACATTCTATGAGTTCTGACAAACGTATAAATGACATGTATTCACCATGAGCAGTTCCGCTGCTTTAAAAACCCTCTGTGCTCCACCTATTCATCCCTCCTTCCGCCCTAACCTTTAATGATCCCTGAACTTTTTACTCCATAGTTTTCTTTTTTCCAGAATGTCATGTTTGGAATCACACAGTATTTAGCCTTTTCAAGATTGGCCTCTTTCACTTAGTCATATGCTTTTATATTTCCTCCCTAATTTCATGGCTTGATAGCTCATTTCCTTCTAGTGCTGAATAGTATTAAATCATGTATTTTTGTGTCTATATTTACAGGTACCAAAATAGAACACCTAAGAATTTTATATATCACCTCCCCTGTGTTTATTGTCTTGGTCATCGTGGGATCCATTTGGCTTTTGAAAATCCGTGGCTGCAGGTACTGACTGATGTTTTTTTTCTCTTCTCCTCTCTATTGGGTTAGAAAGGAATCAGAAATAGGACTGACTTGGCAAAACTAAGATGTTAACATCAATTCTCTCATAATCAAGAAGCATGTCCTCATAAAAACCGACAACATAATGCCATTTGCAGCAACATGGATGCTCCTAGAGAATGTCATTCTAAGTGAAGTAAGCCAGAAAGAGAAAGAAAAATACCATATAAGATCGCTCATATGCAGAATCAAAAAAACAAAAACAAAAATAAAAACATAAATACAAGACAGAAACAGACTCATAGACATAGAATACAAACTTGTGGTTGCCAAGGGGGCAGGGGGTGGGAAGGGATAGACTGGGATTTCAAAATTGTAGAATAGATAAACAAGATTATACTGTATAGCACAGGGAAATATATACAAGATCTTATGGCAGCTCACAGAGAAAACAATGTGACAATGAATATATGTATGTTCATGTATAACTGAAAAATTGTGCTCTACACTGGAATTTGACACAACATTGTAAAATGATTATAAAAAAAAAGAAGCATGTCCTGAAAATAATAGGCTTGGACTACTCTCAATGACAAGGGGGATTTTTCTAGGTTACTTAGACATGTAAGCATAGTGAGTGAGGCCATTTAGGACAGGATCTTGGGAGAGAGAGTGCATGCTTTTTTCTACTTGGGAAAAGAATTACAATAATTTACTTCATGTACCAAAGATGGTGTCATATATATTCTATTACATCCAGATTCTTTGCATAATTTCACTTCCCTTTCCAAAATCCAGAATGATCTTATTTGGATTTATTAACTACAAGCAGTATTCGTCACTCATTTCTGATAGTTCATTTCTGATTTATTACGGCTTTTATCAAAATGAACCACAATTGTCAATAGTATACTGGTTTGTCTTTCCATTTTCAATCTGATTAATAATGTTTTGACATTCACTCCAGCTTATTTTTATTTTTGCAGAAAATGTAAATTCAAAAAAACAGAACCTACTCCAGTTGTTGAAGAGGTAAGATAAGATTAAAAAGAATATTTGCAAACTTTTAAGCCATGTAGTCTGAAAACCTAGTCACATAATTTGTAACTTGCATCAATATTAGCATTTTAGTTGAAAAGTAAAAATTTCTAGTTTTATAATGCAAATAGTCAGGTGTACTTATTTTGTTAATTATCTACCAAGTACTATTTATATACACTCCAAATCTATGTTTTTATTTCAAGAGCTGCATCCTACAAAAGATGTATTTGCTTCATTTGGACTATAATCTTTGGAAAAACTGAATTGGTATTTCCTCTCCTATTAAACCATCTCTCATTCTTGACTTCCCTTTTTCCCGTACTGTCATCATTTTCCTCTCAACTAAGCTTAAAACCTATCCAGCACTATAATCTCTTATAACCTGTAGCTAATTAAGTCTTTGACCCTCTCCTCTGAAATACTTCTTATATCATTTCATTCTTCTCCACTCCTACTTTCAGACAGCCTTTATCATCTCACACTGAGACTTAAAATAATTTTTGATAACATATTAGAAAAATCTCACTCTTATGTTCATGTAAGCCCAGAGACCACTATTTGTAGACACTAAAGCCACAGGCACTTGTTAGAAAAACACAGGTAGTTAAGGATTACTGGGTTTATTTAAATTGATTTTAACTTTGGGTTCTTTCTTAGGATGAAATGCAGCCCTATGCCAGCTACACAGAGAAGAACAATCCCCTGTATGATACTACAAACAGGGTGAAGACATCTCAGGTGTCACAAAGTTAAGTTGATGGGATGAGTCTCCATATTTTATATGCTCCGGGAATCCAGCACCAGGACAAATGAATCAAGATGCAGTACAGATACTGTTGATTTTCTTAGAGTTCTGGAATGGAAGGCCTATTTCGGAATTGGCTTTTCAAAGATTCTTAGAAGACAGAGACATTCTAGAGGATTTGCATTTGTATCCTTATACAATTGAAATTTTAGAATTTTAGCTGTCACAAGCTTGTTCTCTGAAGAACTGATAATATTACAAAGAAAGCATCTGCTCATGATAAAATATACAAATTGTTCAGTACAGTAGATGAGGAAAACTGAGTTTCCTAAAATAACTCTACAGAGGGAACAATTACCAAGAATTTTTATGTAATCTTATAGACAATGTCTATGTGTCTGTGTCATATGTATATGTGCGTGAATATGTGTACATTTATATGTTTATTTACATATACATATCTTTGTCAAGACACAAATGGGAACATACTATAATTGTGTTCCGTACTTATAGAAAGCTAATCATGTAACATATCTTGTAGATCTTTTATATCAACACAAGCAGAGCTACCTCATTCTTCTTAATGGTTACGTAAAATTCCATTGTATGTATGGTTAATTAAATTAACCCTGGTGATAGACATTTAGATGAAGTTTTGTTAATTCTGCTAGTATAAACAATACTACATAGAATGTTTCTTGTGGTTATCTCTCTCTGTATTTGTTTGAGTATATTTGTAAGATAATTTCCTTGAGTGAAATTGCCAGGTCAAAGGGTCTGTGCATTTTTATCATTTTTATTATTGACTGATACGTCAAATTGCATCAATTTACGTTCTCTGCCCAACCCTATTTGAATGCACCTTTCCTGGTATTTTAATATTTGTAAGATTCCAACCTCCTGTTAGCTAATATAAGATTATAATAAGAATTTCACTATTTAATAAAACTGATTTATATTTTTCTGTCATGTTTTACGTGTGTGTGTGAGAGAGAGAGAGGACACACATATGAGGACATTAGCCTCTTCTGAGATTAGTATATCTCATTAGAAGTATTGATATCTAATGCCTAATAGTTTTGCAGATGTGATAAACAGGAAGTGTGTATTTTTATGGTGTACACTTTATTGTGATGTATTTATCAAGTAACAAATGTTTATTGGCTATATAACCAGCTAAATATGCATAATGGAGGACTTTGGATATCTATAAAATATGGTCTTTGTGCTGAGGGAATAGCCATGGGATGACATGACCCTTTCTTCCATTTTTCTATGGAATAAAATATTGGGAATGTGTATATTAATCATTTTTAATATTATGAAAAATATAATTTAATTACGAACAATTATGAAAAATAAGTCTATTTACTCCAAAGCAGGAAAAATGATACTGAAAATTAAAATGTTTCAACATGGTAGAAATTAAAACAAAAATTCATTCATTCTTTAATTGTGTCATTTGAAACATCTAAGACAGCTATTTTGTTTTCTTAATATGTTTGTCTCCCTGAAGACATTTTGGTTACACTAGGCTTATTCTTAAAAGGACTTTTAGTCTATTTCGCATGTAAAACTAATATAGTAACACTTGGGACATGATATTTTGACCAAACCATTTTGATTGGCCAAAAAACCAGTCCATTAAGTTTCTGTATATAAATATTACCAAGTGGTGTGCCCAATAGACATCATAACCCTGTTTTTGCCATTTTCTTAATTCTTCATCCATCCTCTCATTGGGATGGGTTTCATTCTTAGTTAGGTTCAAGAATATCTGTTTAAATATATTACATCTTAACTTGATAATGTCAAAACAACCATGTCAAATGACATCATAGTGAAGATTTCAAGATAATTTATAAATGTCAAATTACACTGTAGAGGAACTAAATGTATTAAAATTTTCCATTACAGGGGTGTTAAACATAGTTGAGTATCAGAATCATGTAGGGAAATAAAAAAAAATTATATAAATTTCCCAAATCTACTTTAGACCTGCTGAATCAGAATATCTAAAGATTGGATCAGGTGTGTCAGGTAATCCAGGAAGCAGAGGGTGAGATGGGGTTAGTCGAGATAAAGGTTAATTGGACGAGAGAGGTTTCACCTTTGAAAGATTAAAAGGGTTGGAAGCAGGATAGAGGAGGGCAAGTCTTTAGACCATGATGCTGATCTGAATGAAACTTGTGAAAGCAAAGAGGCGAGGAAGTAGGATAGAAGAGGGGGAGCCTCAGATCACAATACAGAACCGTCAAAGTCGTGACCAAACCATTGAGAAGCCCTGGAGCAAAGATTGCTTGTAAAAAGAATCTCCTATTGGCAGATGTTCAAAAATCTGATACCCCTTCATGCTTAGTCACTGGTTGGGAAGAGAGTATGGCTTCAGCTCAAAAGCTGAAATGAAGCCTGAGGTGTTAACAACTGATGACCATCAGCTAATTGCACTCCTTGGAACTGAATGGTATGTTCTCGTTTGATGGGAAATCTGAATAGCTCCCTCCTTGGCTGCCCAGTCTATCCTTTCACTGGTTAGTATTTGCCTGGCGTGTTATTGTCTATCTTTTTATTTTTAACTTTTCTGTGACATTTTATTTTAGGCACACCTTTTATAAAGAAACTATAGCTTTTTTAGAAAGAAGATACAACTGTTTTTTGTAACTCATTTGAGAATTTTAACTTTTTTTAAAACATTTTTTATTGAGTTATAGTCATTTTACAATGTTGTGTCAAATTCCAATGTAGAGCACAATTTTTCAATTATACGTAAACATACGTATATTCATTGTCATTTTTTTTTTGCTGTGAGCTACCACAAGATTTTGTATGTATTTCCCTGTGCTATACAGTATAATCTTGTTTATCTATTCTACATAGGCCTGTCAGTATCTATAAATTTTGAAATCCCAGTCTGTCCCTTCCCACCCCCCACCCCATTGGCAACCACAAGTTTGTATTCTATGTTTATGAGTCTGTTTCTGTTTTGTATTTATGTTCATTTTTTTTTTTAAGATTCCACATATGAGTGATCTCATATGGTATTTTCCTTTCTCTTTCTGGCTTACTTCACTTAGAATGACATTCTCCAGGAAAATTCATATTGCTGCAAATGGCATTATGGGAAAATTGGACAGCAGTATGTAAATCAATGAAGCTAGAACACTCCCTTACACTATACACAAAAATTAACTCACAATGGATCAAAGACTTAAACATTAAGACAAGATACAATAAACCTCCTAGAAGAAAATATAGGCAAAACATTATCTCACATACCTCTCAAAAATGTTCTCCTAGGGCAGTCTACCCAAGCAATAGAAATAAAAGAAAGAATAAACAAATGGGACCTAATTAAACTTACAAGATTCTGCACAACAAAGGAAACCGTAAATAAAACAAAACAACAACCTACAGAATGGGAGAAAATGATGAAACTGACAAAGGCTTGATCTCCAGAATATGTAAGCAGCTCATACGACTTAATAAGAAAAAAACAAACCACTCAATCCAAAAATGGGCAGAAGACCTCAACAAGCAATTCTCCAAGGAAGAAATACAAATGATCAACAGGTACATGAAAAAATGCTCAGTATCACTAATTATCAGAGAAACGCAAATCAAAACTAGGATGAGGTATCACCTCACACCAGCCAGAATGGCCATCATTCAAAGGTCCACAAATGACAAATGCTGGAAAGGCTGTGGAGAAAAGGGAACACTCCTGCACTGCTGGTGGGAATGCAGTTTGGTGCAGCCACTGTGGAAAACAGTATGGAAACTCCTCAAAAGACTAGGAACTGACTTACCATATGACCCAGAAATCCTGCTCCTGAGCATATATCCAGAAGGAACCCTACTTCAAAAACACACCTGCACCCCAGTGTTCATAGCAGCACTATTTACAATAGCCAAGACATGGAAACAGCCTAAATGTCCATCAATGGATGAGTGGATAAAGAAGAGGTGGTATAGTTATACAATGGAATAGTATTCAGCCATAAAAATGACAACATAACGCCATTTGCAGCAACATGGATGTTCCTGGAAAAAAAATGAGAATTTTGAATTTAATGACAGTTTAAGCCATTCATATTTGTTGTGATTACTTATGTATTTGGTCATGTTTCTGCAATCTTACATTACATGTCTCATTTACTATGTTTTCTCCCCCAACTGTTTTATTTTTTCTTTCACTCTGCTTTTCTGTATTGGTGATTTACTGTAGCCAAGACATGGAAATAATCTAAGTGTCCATTGATGGATTCATGGATAAAGAAAATGTGGTAAATACATACAATGGAATATAATTCAGCCATAAAAATGAAAAATTTCCATTTGTGACAACATGGATGGAATTTAAGGGCATTATGCTGAGTGAAATAATTCAGACAAAGAAAGACAAATACCATATGAACTGAATTATGTAAAATCTCAAAAAAAAACAACAAAGAAAAACATTCCAAACCAAGCTCACAGATACAGAGACTATATTGGTGGTTGCCAGAGGTGGGGGTAGGGGGGCAGGTGAAAGGGGTGGAGTCCAAAGGTACAAACTTGTAGTTATAAAATAAATAAATCATGGGGATATAATGTATAGCATGGTGACTATAGTTAATAATACAGTATTGTACATTAAAAAGTTGCTAAGAGAATAAATCTTAAAAGTTCTTATCATAAGAAAAACATTTTGTAACTGTGTGTGGTGGTGAGTGTTAACTAGACTTATTGTGATGATCATTTTATAATATATACAAATAAAAAATCATTATGTTGTACACCTGAGACTAATATAATGTTATATGAGTTATTTATACATCAACAAAAATGAAAAGGCAACCTATGAAATGGAAGAAAACATTTGCAAACCACATCAGTAAGAAGTCAATATCCAAAATATATAAGGAACTCATGCAACTCAGTAACAAAAAACCAAACCAAACCAAAATACACCCAACACACACACACACACACACACAAACTCTGAAAAACTTAAAACCAAAACCAAATACTCCAATTTAAAAATGGGCAAAGGACATGAGTAGACATTTTTCCAAAGAAGACATATAGATTGCCGAGTACATAAAAAGGTGCTCAACATCACTAATCATCAAGGAGATGCAAATCAAAATCATGATGAGATATCATTTCATACCTACTAGGATGGCCATTATCAATAAAAAAAATGAGGTAACAAATGCTGGCAAGGATGTGGTGAAAAGAGAACCCCTGTATACTGCTGGCAGGGATGTAAACTAGTACAACCACTATGGAAAACAGTATGGTGATTCCTCAAAAAATTAAAACTAGGACTACCACATGATTCAGTAATCTTACTTCTAAGTACATATCCAAAGGAAATGAAACCATTATCTTGAAGAGATAGCTGTACTTTCATTTTTTATTGAGGCATTATTCACAATAGCCAAGATACGGAAAAAACCTGAGTGTGTTGATGGATGAATGGATCAAGAAAATGTGGTGGGTTATTACTGAGCCTTAAGAAAGGAAGAAAATCCTATCATTTGTGACAACATGGATGAACCTGGAAGGCATTATGCTCAGTGATATAAGCCAGAGAGAGAAAGACAAATGTTGCATGACATGTGGAATCTAAAGGGGAGAGGTTAAATTCATAGAGACAGAGTAGAATAGTGATTATCTGGGGTTTGGATGTGGGGAAAATTGGGAAATGCTGGTCAAAGGGTACATGCCTTCAGTTGTAAGATGAAAAAGTTCTGGGGTCTAATGTACAGCATGGCTACTACAGTTAATAATACAGTATTTTATACTTGAAATTTTCCCATTTCAAAAAAAGATACTATGTGAGGTGATGGATTTATTAAAAAACAAACAAACTTTTCCAGTGGCTGGTGTCAGAAACAACAATCACCAACTTCCAAATACTATATTAAATCTCTATCAGAGGCACTAAAGAACATTTTTGAAAGGACGTGAATT